TGTGTGTGTGTGTGTGTGTGTGTGTGTGTGTGTGTGTGTGTGTGTGTATTAGCATTTATCCACAAGAACAGAAGTTTAGGGACCCAGCTCCCTGTGAGTTCATGGGTCTAGTGCTCCATTTCTCAAGTGGTTTATCAACTCTTTAAGAAAAGCTCGGCTCCTATTGGGGGGAGAGCAATTAAGAAGCAGCGTGGTGAGGCTCATTTAGATGGCCACACTTCAGCAGATTCCTGAGGCAGCAGAATTCAGAGCTTGACAGAGTCCGCCACCCTTTTTCACACAAACACAGCTAATTAGCAAATGACTGCACTTGAGAATTACTTTAACACCGTCTGGCGTTCGTAACGCAACGATCATAAAATGCTCTGCCAGAGGAACGTGCAGAGCTTTCTCTCATTTGTGTGTGTACAAGCAGAAAAACAACAACTCCCAGAGCTGTCCATGTGCTGAGAGTGCAAGCTGGAAGCTCAGAGGGTCTGGGGGATTTGGACAGAAAGGAGGGGTGGGGTGGGGTGGGGGGGGATGCAACATGCTTGCAAAGAGTAAAGGGGTGAAAATGGTGGCGGGAGATTGGACGAAAAAGATGTAGCCAAAGAGTGAGAGATTGGCTGGGTGAGGCAGATGGACAGGGTGACTGGTCATCACGAGCCTTAGGACAGCTGTTCTCTGATATATCAGTGGACACAATAACCTAAAGCCAGGCTGCAGTCAGAGAAAATAGGGACCCAGTTTTTCTTGAAGGGAAGTGCTTGCGTGTGGGGGTGAGTTTGAACAGGCTTCTGCCATTTGTGGACGTGCGTTAGCAAGTTCGGGGGATGGGGGGAGTTGTTTCTAAAATTACGAGCTTGAACTGACGCATCCAGCAATTATTCCCGAGGTTTTCTACTTTTGGAGAGCGCTGAGAAAAGTGCTGTAAAACGAGCACACGCTCGGATGGGACTTTGCCTCTTGCTGCACTGCCATTAACCATTCTGAGCATGTTTGGTCAATTAATCAATGTTTAACGAAGGCCATCAAGTAGTTTGGCTGCTCCTCTTCTCTATCCACTCTGCAATATAACAAGTTGTAAACATGGAGGCTGTTAGTCTGCCACAGATGAATCGGAGAGTATTGATTTTGAATCTTATACTGTATGTCATTGATTCTATTTCAAAAAAAGAAAAAGGCTCTCTAAGATTCTTAATTCATTTCCAAAACAGTACAATGTTATCTTCAACACATAAGCTCCGCATTCTGACAAAAACTATTTCGACAGCTGGCCTGGAGCAGTCCCAGAAGACAATGAAACAAAACACAGAGCAAACTGGCATTCTTAAACTTGGAGTAAAAATGGCTCTATCTGCAGAAACAAAAAAATTCTCAAGTCTAAAGAGACACACGCACACAGAAGATGTCCTTCAATGCCACTGCAGGAGCTGGTTCTCCTGGGACTGTGTGAATAAAAAGAGCTGCTTCTGCTCGAGCTCTGAGCAGCAGGTGTGAAAACTTCTCACCAGAGCTCCTGCAAGCTTCTGTTATTACATGTTTTTAGGGCAATGGAAGAGGGTGCGTATGAGCCAGAGTGAGCAGAAGGTGGATTGGGAGTGTGGGTATCCTGTGAGTGATAGCAAGCCTGGGACTAATGCATAGATTTAGATTTTTTTTTGACTCATAAAGGCTCAGTGAAACATATATAGACACACAAAGACAGAGCGCC